GGTGCATCTCGGATCCATGGGGTCCGCCTCTCTCTCAGACGACATCCATCTACCGCAGGCAGCATTTCGCACACGCGTACTAACATACACAACTGGGCTCCCCCTGATCGCCGCGAGATATCATTCTGACAAGACATTTGCCCCAATCTAGCCTCGATTGTTGGGACACAAAAGAAAGCTTCAACCAACCAAGAGCCTTCAAACTCCACGCCGAAACGCAATCAACACTTTTGTCCGGAACGTGTGCATGTCTGACGTGGCTTATACAGTGAAATCCGAGGTAAGATTCTCCCACTCGAGAGAAGAGGGAATTTAGCTGGTTTCTCACGAGACACGTCTGCTCAGAGAGATGTGATGCCTCGTAGTCATCTTGAAACCGCATATCTCGCTCTTGTTCTTTGCATTGTACCAGAGACCCGATCTGCCGTGTCCCTGGATCACCATCATGCTCGCCAAAGGGCCACCGTCACGGATCATGCACAAGGGACATAGACTGTTCCTCTGAGTCCGGCTGAACACAATTGCCACAAAATCACCACAACAACAAGGGAGTGCTTAAGTAGAATACATGAAGCGGGCGAGTCGGACGAAGGTGACTTGCTGACACACCATTCCATAAATCTTACCCTTAACCACCACCACCACCATTCCATGATGATCTCATGGCCACCGGGGGGCCTCGCCTTGAAAGGGAGGGTTGTAGATGAGGAACTGCTGAATGTGTTCGAGGCCTCGAGGCGGAGTCACCCCTCACTGAGGCCGCAACCGTATCAGCTTGGGCCGGCAACTTTACTCGTCTTCACCGGTATGATGAATCTAGACATCCCACAATTACCACATGCCACAGCCCCACGAGGCACTCTCGTGGTGAGTGCAGCAATGTTTATGTCACAATGGTTTTAATTTTGCCGCAAAAAACCTGGGTCAATGACGTAATTCGCTCTCATTAGAAACGGACTTCTGCGTGCGCTCGTATGGTAACTCTGCTGCTGTTTTGTGTTCTCATATGAGTGTCAGGATAGTAAGTTTGCAATGGGATTTGATCGGCCGGCTGCAAGAAACGAACGGATCACCTTGCCATTCTGCAGTGATGCGGCGCCAGTCGAGTCACACGAGTGTGTGCTTGTCAGTCAAGCAATGAGTCAATCAATGATGGGTCATTGTCATTCAATTCATTCATTGATTCAGCTAATCACTGCATCACTACAGACAACCCTCCTATGTTGCTTCCCGCGAGAGATGGCCGTAATCCTGGCCAGGCTGGCCACGAGATGAGGGTGGGTCGTAGGTCATTACACCTATGTATGGTCCATCCAGCCGACCTTTGAGTGAGGCAATGGATGGCCCGCCCCAATGTCGGCCCGACAGCCTGTCGAACCGACATTGGGGCGGGAAGGGCGGTATTTGTACTTTCATTACTTTCATTCCAGAGCACATCATGAGTGTGTCTTGGAAAAGTTCATGGAGCATCCCATGCTGGCTAAACACAAGAACATTGGTTGTAAGATGTCTCCCACTACACACGTCCAACACGCACATTCCAAGCTCAAACATTTCTGTTGCACCACGGCATGATCGTGTGAAGGAAAGGATGAGGCAAGCAAGAGACGATGCAAACCGCTTTCGTTGACAATCCATCGGGAGACACATGCTTTACTTTGTGACATTGACCGACCAACGAAAATAGCACAGTGGAGTCGTCTTGATTTCTCCCGTTCGGTCGGCCGGCGATACGCTGCGCACATTCTTCAGTCTTGAGTCTGTGTTATACACCAGATTCAGCCATGCGTCGTTGACATGCGCAGCGCATGTCTCAGCCTTTACGAAACGAAACGGCGTCCTTCCTGAGCACAGAATGCCTGCACCAGAACACCAACACGTTATCACGTGAATTGGACTAATTCTCAAGTATCAGACTTGCTTGTTTGCATAATGGACACGCCAATCGATTGAATGCACCATGTGTGTGTCTATCAATCCATCCATCTCATCAACCCTCCGTCTCCCTTACTCACAACCCACACACATACATACCCACCCACCCACCACCAACCCACCCACACACACGGAGCTATACAGCATCCTCTTCCTCTACACAATCTACACAATCGTCCTTGCCGTCTGGCAGGTTCTCCTCATTCAACGCCTCCATCTCTCTCAGCCGAAAAACAAACTCTCTGACAACACTAGGTAGCCGATTGTTCTTGGTGAGCTGATACCCAGCAAGCAGTATGCTGCCTTTGGGGATTGACTGACGCCACGGCTCAGCGGTCACCTGTTTCCTACGCTTTGACCTGCATGACATACAAACGCACACACAAACCACATCGGATGCCAGACATCCGATTCGTTGCAGTGGCTCACTCACTTTGACGGCGCGACGCGCATCGCCGGCTCAAAGTGTCCCTTTGGCGACCAGCCATTGAGAGGTCCTCTCCCCTCATACCACCAAATGCTCGCGAGAGGGAGTCCATCACCCGCTGACTCGGCGTCCTCAATGAATTGCCCGACCCATGCCGGACTTGCGTCTCCATCCGCCATGTCCTCGCGGTCTGTGAAACGAGAAGACATCCGCAGGACACAGCTGTGCTTTCTGTCTGTCTGTCTGTCTGTCTGCCTGTTTGTGTGGCTGTCTTTCCTTCCTTACCTGGGTCGATCAGAACCATGTCCCCTTTCTGCGGATCCTCTGCTCGGCTCTCCCACATAGCCAGTGTGCGCTGATCAGCAGTGGATACGCCAGTCGGATCTCCGACAGAAACTGACTGGCACTTGAGTCCGAGTCGGTCGAAAACTGACGCCAACATGCCAGAATCGATGGTCCTGGCACCACTGTCGATCTTGTACAAAGATGACTGACAACGACAGAAAGCGGGAACATGATTTGTTGCCATTGGCCTTTGACTATGTGCATTGTGTCCGCTTGCCGTGGATGTGAACAGGCTGTCAGCGGCAAATGATGAGTCATGCATCTTGGCCGGCAGACGGAAAGGGGTGTTCTCCTTCTCGTAGTTGCCCGTGATCAAGTCCTTGCAGAAGCTGACATCCTCGCGTGTGAACATAGGCGTCTGGTCTCTGTAACGAAGCTGATCGGGAAGCTTGTCAAGCGCGGCCAACGTGGCGGACATCTGCAGTAATGATCATTTACCAAGACATCAAGTCTGTACACTTTTCTTCCCTGTAGCCATCCGATTCGCTTACAGTCTTGTTCATACGATCAGGATCGCGCCTGCTGTTGGCACCTGGATTGAGGAGGTCCTCTGTTGCTGCGACTGACGCACCGCTGCCGGCTGGTGGATATGACTTCATGAATGGAAGGGGACCTGCAGCAAACACAGAGCCAGAGGAAGGCAGTGGGCAGCGCATATCGTGTCTATTGTGAGATACCTTTCCAATCTCTGTCGGCTATGAGAGACTTGAAGTACATGCCCACGTGCTCGTATGACGGGGGCAACTGCAGCAAGCACATGCAGTGCACGATGGAGCCTCAGGGTGTGTCCGGTGTGCGCACATACAGATTTGGCGTACCCGTGCAAATCGATACGACTGTGCCGTGCAGAAATTGACCGGGGGATCAGTGTGCGGCTCCAGCAATGCCTTCCAATCCCATGTCTGCGTCATGAACCGCACCTGCATACCGTTCGGGTACTTGGGATTGCGATGAGCACCCAATATGAGCTCCCTCAGCTGAGTTGCCGTAGCAAATCGAGAAACTACATATAGAACACAACAGCACAACACACCAACCTGTGTTGGCGTCCGCCAGAAAGGCCAGACAGCGTACCTCTCAGTGTCTTGGAGGTGACAGAGTGCAGCTGGTCAATGTCCTCGTGCGTGTGGCCCACAGGTAAGAAGTTCACCGTGACCTGTCATTGCACACAGCAGGCACAGAGTGCGGCCATGGTTCGTGACGACCGATGTGGAAGCGTGCTGCACGCCTAGTCACCTCTTTGAAGGCGCCAAGATGGACAGGTAGACTGGCGTAGGCGAATATGTACTGGTTCTTGTTCTCACCAGTGCAGTTGTCCATTTGTAGCCATAAATGCTCAGCCGGCTCGTCTCCTCGTGTCCATTGTGCAAACATGAAAAGTCTGATGGTTGAAAATAATATGACACGCAAGTCTGACACTTGAGAAAAAGTCCGATTCACGTGTATCTATCTGTGGACGTGCTTTACAGCCGCTCATACGTCGATCAAGTCAAAGGCTGCACGAAAGGAAGTCTGTGCGAACGGTCGCCTGTTGGCGTACGAGGCACTGTAGAGAGGATCGTCATGCAGCAAACCGCAACGGCTATTAGTCTCGGGATATGCGGTGACAGACAGGGAGCGGGAGCAGACCAAGGCACAACATCGAAGAAAAATCGTGAAAACTCACCCAAACTGACCCCATATCACACAGACGAACCGTACGTACGAGGCACTCAGGGTGGACAGGGGGTGGGGGAAAGGGGGAGGGGGTGGATGGTCACATCACACGAAAGAACCCAGACGTGATAACGTGTTCACCTTCACCTGCAACACAACAGACGACGGTCAGGCACAACAGACTACCATGTGGCGGTCTCTCACCCGAGCATAGGATGAGGCGTTGGTGCCAAAGACCGGCCTTTGCCGCAGCCAAGGTGCAGACACCGAAGCTCCCGCTCGCGTTTGTCTGACAAATAGCTCCCTTCTCGGAGCTGATGGTGATGACGACTACCGACGCCTGAACTCGGCGACGGATGAGACCGCCTGCGAGAAACGTCGGTGCTGTTTCCAGAGCCATCCAGTTGACAACGAGCAGTGTTTCTTCTCGCGTGAGAAACCAAATGACAGAAGTACTCGGGATTCCGATGCTTTCTCTCGATTTTCAGAGTGCCCGCCCTTTCTCCAGCAACAGAAAAACCTCGCAACGTGTACAAATACATTTACACGTACCCTCTCCCGTCGGTTTGTCCGGCGGACAAACCGTCGGCGGCTATGGTGACCATGTATGGGTGATCTGAGACACTCGTGGCCAGCTAGGCCAGGACCACGGCCGTCTTCCAAGCGAAGCAACCGAAGAGGGTTGTCCGCATTGATGCAGTGAATTGATTCAATACTTTTTCTACTTTGTTCCCGCGTGCTTGTCCATTGCTTTGCATTGACCGATTTAGATGTTCACTAAGTAATATCCTGAGAGGAACAGATGGCGTCCCCTCGGCGTGAAGATCATATTGACCGAGACAAAACGCCTAATAGAAAACCTTTAGAGGCGGGGTTCCTAGGAGTTTTACGAGACGCCCACTTTTCAAGATCTCTTTGTGTGTTCGTGTCTCGCCCGCGCGTCTCATTTTTTCAGAACAACAAAGTTGTTCCTAAGGTCGCAAGCCGTAAGACAGTACAACACGATTGGCAGGCACCCTCTTCGGGCGGGCAGCTCGAGACACAAAGAAGAATCGGGGGGGAGGGCCAGTGCCTGAAACCTATGAGCCGTAGGACGCCGTCCGACCTAATGCGGGGGCCAATCTATCGCTGATCGGTTGAACTCGGCGCACGGGGGCCCGGTTTCCCACTCGGCAGGCGCGGTCGTTGAACAAACGAAAAAGATGCTGTTTTGGTCGGCCATGCGCTTGTACGCCCTGCTGCGCACCTCCAGTCTGCCCTTCTTGTTACCAATCACACCGATCCACAAAAAGAGCGCGGCCTTGCCATATTCGTCCTGGACGAATCTGTAGTTGTTGTAATCCTCGCTGCAAGGATCAAGGCAAGAGACATGCCGAGCGGTGGAGGGGAATACCGATGTGCTTACCAGCAGCTGGCAAGATTGACGGTTGCCCAGTCACCTGCTATCACCCCCGCTTCTAGCTTGTGGTAGTAGACACTGCCGCCATCTTGTCCCTGAAGGTATGTTGTTGCGGGGCAGTTCCCTAGTTACAAGAGTCAGACGCACAAGAAACGCATAACAAATGCAAGGGAGTTCACTACCTGTACCTGTACAGCACTCTTGGTTGTTCCACCCTGCACCACAAATCGAATGCACACGGTTCACCTCCTTCTAACCACCTCACTGTAGCCAAGACCATACCGTAGGTCACGTGGTCAGCGAACTAAAAAGCAACGACAGAGAAGAGGGAAAGATACACGCGTAAGCCCAGTTGCGTCGCTGCTTCTCACGTCATGGTCGTTGTACGGGTCGCTGCGGTTGACGTATATCTCCACCTCGAAGTCAATCACATAAGGACCATATGGGCGGAGATCCTTCTTGTGAACCTGGGAAACAGACAAATAGCACTATGGCCGAACACCTGAACACCCTCTTTTGAAGAGACCTCGAAAATGGGTCGACGGTGATCGTCGTCGTCATCACGGTCCTTGTGTCGATAGTAATCGTCGTCATGGTCGTCGCTTGAGATCGTTTGGGCGTAATAATGACGACGTCGACGCCTTTGTTTGGTCTCCACTAATTGGGCCACTCGCACCACAACCACATCCAAGTCGTCATTGTGCGTGGAAAACGTTCTATCTGCAAAGGAGAATAGCGGGTCCGTCATGAAATAGTGCTGTCTCTGCAGGCACGCTTCACCCACCCACCCACCGGTGCCATCGGTGCCACATATTGAGTTGCCGTAGTGGCCAAGCTCTTCGGTATTCTTATTGACGTACCCAGGCAGCCGCTTCAGCTTCGGATGGAAGTGAATAGTGCGCCAGTCGCCCTTGTCATATGTAATGGGCTCCGGGGGTGTCGGAGGATGTCTCTTCTTGATCAAAGGCGTCAGTAAATCGTGAAACCCACCCTTCACCTTCCTCACGCTGCGTGCGCCACACACACACACATACACACACACGCGCGCGTGCGCATGGTCTGTAAAGGACAATTCGTCAAAATACATGCCTCTCGGGACAGGTGAGTGTCACACCCTCAGGGTCCGTCAGTCCTTTGACGTGTTGTTGCTCCAGAAAAGGCGGGCACCCTGCAAGTGCGTGTGTGCGATGTGTGTTGTGTTCGACCCATCTCTATTTACTCACGCGAGAAGAAGCATCTCTCCCCGTCGACTGGATGCCCCTCGAAGCAGCAGTCGCGCTCCTCGCAAAATTGCGTAGCCCTCCAATTCAGCGGCCACTTTTTCGTGCGTAGCGGCCACTTTTTCGTGCGTAGGCGGTAACCGTCATCGTCATCGTCATCGTCATCATGGCCGCCATAGAGGGGGGAATCGGTGAGACAGACTCGATGGGTGTCTGTGCCTTCTTTGCTACACAGGTCGTATTCGCGCCGATGCTTGCGAGTGTCGTCATCGTCTGCTCGCGTGAGAGGATACGGGCAGGAAAATATGGTCATCTTTCGTGTGTGGCCCACCATCTGTTGTGCTGAAAGTGAGGCCGCTCTGATGCGATGAATCGAGGAAGGACACCGCGGAGCCATGGGGACGCGAAAGGCGCCGGCGGATAGTGGCGTTCATGCAGGGGACGGCCGCCGACGTGAGGCCTATGAGGCCGATGAGGACCACCGCCACGAGATGCATCTTGCCTGCGGCAGCGACAACAGGACAGGAAAGGACGGCAGGAACGGACGGCAGGGGGATGTGGCGACAGACGATGGACTGGACAGATGGTCTCACCTGGAGCAGCCTTTCTGTGCGGTCTGTTTACTTTTCCAAAGAAAGGGGGAAGCGGGCGCCCTAGGCAGCCTAGGCTTAGGACGTCATGAAAATGCCGGCTTTAACGCACCCGCCACCTGGCTGCTTTGTCGTTGCAGTGCGCGTTGAGACAGATATGGGGCCATCTGCGTACGCACACTGACTGGTTGGCTGGCATGTGTGTGGGCGTTGTGCTGGCAGGTTGTTCGTGCACGCCTCTGTCGTGTCGCTCTTTTGATTTGGGTGCTCTTCACAACACTCCCTGGTGCGGAGTCGGACAAGACACTAGTGTCCCGACACACATACGTGCTGTCTGTCTTTCTGTCTGTCTGTCTGGCTGGCTGGCTGGCTGCCTGGCTGTCTGGCTGTCTGGCTGTGGGTGCATGCCCAATGTTTTATGCAGTGGTTTTCAGGCGCCGTGTTGGTTGTTTTGCCGGTCGTCAGCGAGTTTGGCAGGGGCAGTTCCCTGCCTTGTTAACGCTACAGCGCCCATTGGTCATGGCAGCTGGGCTGCATGACCGGCACTGCATAACGGACCTACACGCCTTCGTTCATTCAGTCGAGTTCCACTGTTCCCGTAGTTAAGTCGACTTGTGCTGATCTAGATCATCAACATCAGATCATCAGGACACAGAAGAGAACCGGAAAGGAAAAAAAAGGGGGAAAGAGACGCATCCAACAGAAATGGGAAAACGAGGCACGGATGGATGTCCGGCACACCAAGGTTTCCCTTGACACCCCTGGATTCCGGAAAAAATGCCTGGTTCTTTCTGGAGGTCGATGTGTCGTGACGTGTCACCCCGATGGCGCGGGGGGGCGGGCCCGGCTTGTATACTTCCCTCGGTCCGGGGGAGGCGACGTGCGATGTATGGTGCGTATACGAGTCTGTCTCGCATCTGTGTACACAGGTAGGCAGCCTGTCTCTCCCCTGCCCCCCCCCTCCCTCCCTCCCTCCTTTCCCCTCTCCTCTACTGATGATGTGTGTGGTTGGACGTTGTAGACCTTCATCGTTCAGTTCATTTGATATCCTCCTTCCATTGGGTGTGTGGGACTCTTTCTATCAGTCAGTCGCTCATATAAATGCGAGTATCGTCTCGGCGTGACTTCTGTATTGTTTTGTTTCTTCGTTTGCGGCTTGAATAAGCATTCGACAGTCCTTCCCAGCATCCCCGTGTGTGTGCGGACATCCATCTTGATTGATTCTGCACCTTAGACTCACACTCGACAACAAGACCTCTTGTATCCACCCAAGACCCGCTCGCTGAAAGGGTCGACAGACATACGAAACAGCGAGCATCGTAGCAATCCCGACAGTTTCAGGCTTTCGTGAGATGGCGGCGGGCGACAGGGTGTCCGTCGAGACTGTGACAGCCATCACATTGCATAACTTGGTTGTGATGCGCCGCGGGACAGGATCTGTCGATGTACGTGCGTCACGCTCACGCTGACAGGGTGTCCGTCGAGACTGCACCATCGCACGCCGGTATTTGCGGGCAGGATAGAGACAGAGACGACCGGCGATGGTTGCTTGAAGGCTCACTTTTTTCAAGTGGCTGTGCGTGTGTTGTGCGCTAGGGTCCGCTGCTTGTGCATACGGAGCGGGGTGATAGGTGATGTATAGGTGGTGTTGTGAATGTTGCAAGCACAGACCCCTGATCACCAGTGGTGAGGTGTCTCAGCGAGCGGAGCATGTTGACTACCTATGCAGTAGGAAGAGCCGACGTACACAAGAACTTCCCTGCGCGCGAGGCCAAGCAGATGGCCATCACAGAAGAGCATCTTCTTCCCCGATGTTGGGATGGCTTACAAATGCCATGCATAGTGCAAATCGATAACTGACCGACTAGCCCTTATGCGTGAAGTTCCAACATATTCCGTCTCTGACATTCAACGAACAACTCCGTCTCTTTGTATCGTGCCCGTGGGAATGATAAGCTAATAGCTCTTGCATCCTCAATGTCGTTAAACTGAAACAACTCACGTAACAGGTCTTTTTGTCAGTGAATTAATTGAAATCGTCCGGATTAAAATCTGGCGGCGCCTCAAAGGCCGGACATGTGGCATTGTTGGCCGGAGCCCCGAACGACGAGCAGGAGAAGAAGATAGACTCCTCGTCGAACCGACGCTTGTACGCCCTGCCTCTGACCTCCACCTTTCCGCTCTTGTTGCCAATGACGCCAACCCAAAAAAACCTTTCGTGGGGACATACAGACAGAGGCAATGACAATGACTAGACACAGTAAATTATCGCGGGTTTGTGTTCGGAAAACTCTTACCGGCGACCCTTGCCATATTGCTCTTGGTTGAATGTGAAGCTGTCCCAGTCTTCGCTGCGCAAAGGGAGACCGACCATGAGTACATCTGTGTCAAATGGGGCTCTCGGTGACATACCAGCACTTAGCAACATTGACAGATGGGTAGGGGTCTGGAACAGATGCAGACAGCTCCTTGTAGAATACACTGAATCCGTCCAAAGGCGGAAAAAACCCAGTCGTTGGACACGTCCCTGAGAAAAGATAACGACACACAAATGCGAAAGAGTTTCATCAGAAGAAAATTGTCTCACCTGTGCAACACTCCCGGCCGTTGAGCCCTGCAGCACACAGAATATCAAGTCAGTATTTCCTCTCAACCCCATAATTAATACCGAAGATCACAGAATCCACAAACTGACGAAACAACGAGAGGACGTGATGTCAGCGCCACTGGTTTAGTATAGCTCACCTCCTGAGTGTTGTGTGGTGGGGGCGGAACGAATATCTCCCACTCAAAGTCCACAACGTACGTATTGGCGGAATTCTTGCCTCTCAACTTATGCTTCAAGACCTGATCAGATAATGAGACCTGGTGAACATCTGAGCTCTTTGGTACGTTATATTAGACCTCTCGCAAGTCTCGAAGGTTATGGTCATCGTCACGGTCATCGTCACGATCATCGTCATCATCCTTCTTGTTACGAGCGTGAATCGTTTGGGAGAAGGAATGATGCCGCGCCTTGGTTTTGACAAGCCATGGAAATCGCACTACAACTGCATCCAACTCTTCATTACTCGTCCCAGACGTCAACTCATCCGAGATTAGGGATCTGTCACACCGGGTATCAGACCCCCCCGACCCCTCCTTCTTGTCGATGAATCCAGGCAGGCGCTTGAGATGGGGGCCGAAGTGGATAACTCGTCTGTCGCCCGTGTCTTTGATGGGCTGTGGCGGTCGAGAAGGGAATTTCGGCACCCGCCAGAAGGGAACCTTGACGAGAGGTGACAGTAGATCAACAAACCCGCCCTTCACCTTCCTCACATTGCGCCAAACACACACACAAAGGATTATTGTACACAGTGGAGAAAACAAATCATGCCTGTCTGGACACGTCAGGGCGAGGTCTCGAGGATACGTCAGCCCCTTGTTGTTCTGTTGCTGGAGAAAGGGCGGGCACTCTGAAAATCGAGAGAAAGCATCGGAATCCCGAGTACTTCTGTCATTTGGTTTCTCACGCGAGAAGAAACACTGCTCGTTGTCAACTGGACGCCTCTGGAAACAGCACCGACGTTTCTCGCAGGCGGTCTTATCCGTCGCCGAGTTCAGGCGTCGGTAATCGTCATCATCGTCAGCTCCGAGAAGGGGGCTATTTGTCAGACAAACGCGAGCGGGAGCTTCGGTGTCTGCACCTTGGCTGCGGCAAAGGCCGGTCTTGGGCACAAACGCCTCATCGCCTGCTCGGGTGACAGACCGCCATGAAAACTCACGGTAGTCTGTTGTGCCTGACCGTCGTCTGTTGTGTTGCAGGTGAAGGTGTTCTGGTGCAGGGCCCACTCTGTGCTCAGGAAGGACGCCTTGTGAGGGCGCCCGGTGTTGGTTGCATGGGGAAGGGGTGGACATAGATACTCCGCCGACGAGAGGCCTATCAGAACGAGGACCACAGCGACAAGACGCATCTGACGTACGGAGATGGAACCTTGGCGGCAAAAGATCTTCTAGGGATAGATCCCGGTAAATTCACGACCCCCAGAACCTGGACGGACGAGGGCACCTGGACGGACGAGGACGACGACGCGTCGACCACATCCTCCCTCTTTCTCTTCTGTCCCGCACTCCTCTGTCTACCCTCGTACGCATAGCCACACACTCATCAGCGCCCTCATCCTCTCCATTGAACTCACCTCCTCTCTGACCCACTCCCCATACTCAACAACCATCATAGAGACATCTGTCAGCTGACAACACTGGGAAACTCTTGACGAATTTGTGGACACAGAACGTAGACCCTACCGGCGACTGAATCATATGCGTCTCTCGCGATTTAACAGGCAAGTGCTTCCTGTCCGGCCAGCCTTCCTCGTCTTGAGGGGGCAAAAGGTCCAGACGCGTGTGCACCGCCGCCTTCGCCTCTTCGGCCCCCTCTCGGCTGGCGAACGTGTAATCTGACATGTCCGTGCCGTCCCAACCGATGCGCTCCCGTTTCTGGTCCCTCCAAATAGTGGCCTCACAAATGGCATCCTTCACTGCCTCCTCGGTGGCTGAGAGGATGCGGAAGTGACAGTACTTGCCAAGTACAGAGGTGATGAACACCCATCCCACACTGTGCGTCCAGGCGTTCACAACGCCTCCTCAGTCATTTTTTGACAGTGTGTTATTCTCCGGCACTGGCCTTGCTTACCTTCAGGAGAATAACGACAGGAGAGCACACAGGAAGGTACTCAGGCACCTCTTTCAGGTGGAGTGGAAGCACATGCATGGCGCAAGGGAAGAGGATGACGCTCGAAAACATGTCTCACGCTAATGCACGCCTTTCCAAGAGCCCACACACAGTGCAAACTACCGCGACGAGATGTATCAGACATACTTGCTTGGAATCGCCGCTTAAGGCAATTGCACGAGCAATTGTCGAGCCCGGATTGGAAACATGTTTAGTCACAGACATCACATGCAGGCAGCCACACATCTCACCGCATATGCCAAGCATCACTCACGAAGTAACCAGTGCCGTGTCCACCCTCGTAGAAGGCTTCTCCCTCGTTCCAAAATCCAAAGAACGGCGGTTTGGATTTTGGACGGATGGATGGCTTGATATGTGCCTGCCTTTCTGTCTGGCTGTATGTGTTGTGTCTCATGTATGTGTGTGGTGTGTCTGCCGGCATTGTTTATGTATGTATGCATGTATGTATGCTTTTTGTGTTCTAGCTGATGGATGGACGGATGAACGCATGGACAGACGGATGGATGCTTCCTGTGTGCCACAAATCGCTTTAAAATATTGAAAACGGCTCTGTCAAGGGAGGAGCTTTCAACGTGGTGAAGTGCAGGCCTCCGTGCGACTGGCCGGTACTATACAGACATGCAGCCACACCATTCTTATAATTGTATCATGTGTCATTGTGACTGGAGACAGTCAGACAGAGTTATGAAGAGTGGTAGGGGGCCGGCGAATGTGAGCGAATAGGATGGAAATGTATGTTGACAATACGAGGGTCTTGATCGCTTGTCACACCTATGCTCTATGCCCTGCGTCTCCGCAGATAGGCTTCTCCCCACATCTGCATACATACCTACGTCTCTCTACGCCAGCGCCTTCTCCAGCCAGCTCAACACAGCCAATGCCTGATGCGACAGGTGCAGCCGCCCCTTTGACACATAATTGCTACTCTCATGCCCCTCCTCTCCTCTCCCTCCCTCAGCCACATCGCCTCCGTCATTCACTGCATGACCCACACCACAACACACCCGACGCACACGCGTCATGAGGTTGCGCAGAGCGCCTCTCAGCCTGGTGTGGCTGCTGAGGAGCAGGCGACTGCCCTCGGAGACGCCGCTCTCCCACTTGTCGCCCACTCCGCCCATCGACGCGTCTGAGCAGTGGCAGATGAGCAGCGCCGCCACTGGCAGCCCCTCCCAGCAAACATGCAGCAGGTACTGCAACGCGCAGTCGCTCGGGTAGTAGAAGTGGCCTGGCAGGCACGATGATGCTGACGTTTCCGCTGCGTCGGTGGCTTGCTCTTCGTGTTTGTGGCTGGTGTGGCATAATCCTGGGGCCCTGTTGCCCTTGAGATGCAGTCGCACCACACGGCCAGACAGCTGAAATTGCGCGACGAGGGCAGTGGCCACCTCGGCGAGCCACTCTAGCTGGCTGCGCACGAACCCCGCCTCGATCTCGTCGTCACTGCTGCCCTGTGTCTGCGACTGCTTTCCCACCGCGCCTGTACCGCCACCACTGATCGAGATGAGATGTCCCAGGTGCCTGCGGAGCCGAGGATACATGAGCCACTGGAGCAGGTCCAGCCGCAGCGTCACGACGGCCGACAAGACACGGAGCCACTGCAATTGGATCAGTGACTCGGCCAGGAAATCGCTCAGCACACTCTGGAACTGCACGAAGACGCGCGCTGCCGCATACCTGTCGATGCCGTCCGAGTCGGCCGCCACGACCGGCGGGGCGGCCTGCTCGTCACGCACTGGCCGCCACAGCCGCTGTGAGTGGTGGATGGCTGTGATAGCTGGTGCGTGGGGGGCCTTGGCCGTCCTGGCCCTCGCCAGTGGCGGCAGGTCTGCCACTATGGCACTTCCCTGGTCGGGCGCTGACAAGGACGGGGATGGCGCCTCAGAGGTGTCCGCATGGCCGCCATGGTTGCCTCTACCGGCGCCCTCTGTCACCTGTGTCGTCACAGCTGTCGACCGATTCGTGAGGGCCTCGCCGCCGGACGTGTCGATGATGTCCGTCAGGGTCTCGTCGTCGCTGTGCTGCTGGCTCTCTACGGCGTCGGGGGCGTGGGTGGCCGAGACTGGTGACGAGTGGACGAACAGCGATCGGAAGAAATGTAGGATGTTCTTGGCGAGGGTGAATGCGCTGTTGTGCAGGGCCTTCTCGAAGAGCCGGAGGGCGTAGTCGGCGCGCACCCGCAGGGGGCCGACGAGGTTCTGGAGGACAACCAGATAGAGGGAGGCGACGGAGAGCTGATGTCGCTCGACGCACAGGGAGAAGAGGTGGTGTGGGTGGACGCCTCCCAGTGGGAAGAGGATCAGGGGCGTCGTGAAGGGCTCCGTCTTGCGGATCAGCGCGATCAGCACTTCGGGCATGACCGTGTCGAAGCGCTTGAGCAGAGTCAGTGCCACCTCCACCATGATGAAGACACTCGACGTCTTGCAGCACATCTTGAGTATGGACGTGGGCCGCACCTTCCACCCACCGCTGACCAGCGCATACCCATTACCCCTCGGCGAGGCGTCATCCATAATCTCACCAACCCCTCCCCGCGACGGCAAGAGAGGCGACCCAAGCTGCATCACATGAGATGACACCGACCGGCGGGGAGAACTGTCGGGTGCGGCATCCCGCTCCTGCTGCTGCTGCTGTTGCTGGGGGAATGCCAGTGTGGTTTGTATGCGTGTCTGCGTCTTGCGGTGGTGGGATGAGTATATTGGTATGGCCTCCTCGAGGATGTCGTGGAAGAGGAGCTCGAGCGTCGGCTTGAATGCGTTGGTGGGTTCGAGGAAGCCCAGCAGCCGCTCGGCCACCTGGAAGGATGGCGACGGCACTTCCACTGTGCTGGCCTGACAGGACAGGCACAGACAGAGAGAGAGGCGATGGTTGGCCAACACGGGCAGACAGCGTCAATGCGGTGCCGAAGCGGTCATGTCTGTCTATCTGTGTATACACACCAGTGGCGGTGCGGTGGCGAGGAAGACTTTGAGGAGTGGGTGCAGGAAGGGCTGGAACTGCAGCTGCAGCGACGTCGATGGCACTGCAGTGGGCGACGTGGGAAACGTGTTGGCCGGCGAACACGCCAGCAGCACACCAACCTTTAGACAACACAGACGCCCAGATGGACAGACAGACAGACACACAGACAGATGAACCGATCTACAGCCACCCTTGCATACAGCTTACACACCTGTGGCAGCACGGCGAGCAGCTTGACGGGATGCGGCCTCTGGTCGATGGGCAGCAGCGAGGCTGTCCGATACTCCAGCGGATCCACCGAGTCCCTCACACCATCATCTGTTGCTGGTGGTGGTGTCGGTGCAGCGCTGTCATCGTGGCCCTGCTGGCCACCAGCTGCAGGCTTTTTGTTCCTCATGCTGGCGGCCACGGTGATGAGCTGCAGCCCCTCTGTATTCTGGCACCACACGTAAATGCCGCCACGACACGTGTCGAGGTCGGCTTGGGGGCCTAATCAGACACACAGAGAGATGCGTGATGGACGGAATGGAGCAAGCCAAACCTTTCACCCCTCAGTGACCTTGCAGCTCGTGGCTCCTGTGTTGCGTGTCGTACTGCTCTTTCATGCGCTGGTGCTGGGACCTGAGCAGCGTGCGGTAGTCCTCGGCCTGCTTCTCGTAGTACTTGACGTCGTGTATGCCGCCCGCCACGGTGCCCCTGTCGGCCGACCCGTAACGCAAGTCGCTGTACAGCAGACCCAAATCGGACCCACTGATGCCGCGACTGTGCACACCAGAAATAAATGCACCGGCAACATAGGATGGAATGGGTGGGGAGAAATGGGAACTGGTCGCACGGAGGAGTGGTGTAGCTAGTATGCATCGTGTCTTTACCGTTGGAGAGCGAAGAAGGATGGACTCGGTTGTGCGTTGGTGCCCTTGGCTTTGATGGCTTCCACGATGCTGCCTCGCCTGTTGCTCTCGTCGCACCTCTTGCCCCCCGTGGCTTCCTCTCCTCGCGGCTCCACCTGCCACTGACCGCCCTTCCTGTCCACTGAGCCCTTGCGACCCGTCCCCGTCTCGTTATTGTCATCTTCTGCAACTGCCGTCCCACCGTCCGTCTCACTACTCACGGCCGTCAGCTGCGCCCGTGACGGGGGCGGTGTTGGCGACGGTGACGGGGGCGGCACGCTGCTGCTCTCCCGGTCGGACAGGTCCGTGGATGCGTCCGGTTTGGGCTTCGAGAGGCCCAGGGAGGGAAACCACCACGACTGGGGATGGTGGTGGGGGGCACCACCTTGCGAGCGTGAGACCGATGAGGGTGGGGGTGATGCTTTGGACGAGAGCGTGACGACGCCCGGCTGTGGCAGAGGCATGAGAGTGTACCGCTGCACAGTCCTGTTGATGCCCTCCTCTTGCGTCGAATAAACTGCATGGCACACAGGCGACAGGCAGAGGATGGACGGATAGACGATGCATTCATTCAGTTATTATGAACGGGCAGGTCCCGAGCGCACCTGTGATAGTGTTGTAGTCGAGTTCCGTCTCGCCTGCAGCAATGTCATCGGGGACGATCTCCGCCACCCAGCCACCAAACTTCTCCACTCGCCGCGGCACAAAACCCTCCGGCCCACTGCTGCCACCCAGACTGATCGACGACCCAGACGGCTGCAGGAGACCATCGATGCTGTCCTGGTGGTCCAACTGGATCCTCCTCGCCTCAGTCATATTGACGCGACCACCACCGGCGACACTCGTGCCCGCAACAGGAGGCTTGTTGCTGTTGTCAATTGATGCCGGTGGTGCTGCCGCTGCTTTCGGCTGGGCAGCAGCCACTTCCACCCGTGAAGACGGCGTGTCTGGGGCAATGGACGGTGAGAGGTCACTGTCTTGGTTGTCCTGTTTGGCAGGCAGCGAGATGGCCGCCAGACGAAGGGGTGTGCCGACGTCATCCTGGGCAGGTGGGGCTGGGGATGCAGGGGGCCTGCTGTTACTGTTGTTGTTACGGGTCGCCGGCGGTGAGGGGGACCGGCGCTGGCGGAAAGGCAGGGGGCAGAACTCTGGCAGCTGGCCGGCCGGGCCGGTCCAGAGAGAGTCGACGTCACGCACCAGAGGGGCCGACTCCTCCGGAATGCACAGAGGCCCTGTCGCGACACCTGAACCAGTCAGAGCAGAAACAGATACTGGGAACAAAGTGCGGTTTTGTGAGGGCCTTCTCACCTCCTTCGTCGTCTTCGTCCGGCTCGCCATCGCCCTGGCCCACCCCCACCCGCAGATGAACGACCGTGACATCGCCGCCCGCATGATGGATGAGGAAGTGGTTTTGGTCCACCAGGAACCGCACGCTCAGCGGGTGGTCGATCCACATGAGGGCCTTGAAGTCCACCTTCCAGAGCGTCGCCACCGTCAGGCTCCTGGTCTTGGCACGCGACAGCCCACCGCCCAGCCAATCGGATGTGACAGAGTCTGCGAAGGCCATCAGCCGGTAGGCCGTCACCTCGTAATTCTCGTCATAGACGGCCAGCAGGGGAGTCCGTCGAGACACGGGGGAGGCGCTCTCATCGTCCCTCGGGAGCCTCGGCAACAGGGGACCGCGTGGTGGGGCGCTGCTGCCGGTTGCGGACTGCCGCCGCGCCGACCCGCCGCCGAGGCGTTTGCTGAGGTTCATTGAGGGCACCAGTCGGTGTGTGGGGTCGAGCAGGGCCACGCGCAGCGGCATGTAGTGGAGGTCCTCTATCTTGGCCACTGCAAGGTCCAGGTCCAGACGCAGCGACGGGTCTAGAAAGACAATCGAGTACGTCACGGGGGCAGTGGCAGATGGGGAGGGGGGGTTGGCCGCCGGGGTCTGCGGCGCGCTGACGTCGCCCGATGACGCGCCCCGCTGCATCTCAGCGGCTGTCGACGAGTCTTGCGCGTAGGTGAGGAAGAATGTCCGGGAGTCGTACCAGGCCAGGCCGATGGTTTTGAGGGCGGCCTCGTGCTGGACATTGCCGAATAGCTGCCATCTTCTGGTCTTCATGTGGTAGACCGCGGCGCCCCGTCTGCCAGCGGCGAGGAACCAGTCAGCGTCGGGGCTGATGGCGGCGAGTTGTAGGGGCCAGTTGGGGCAGGTGTACAGTGCGGGTGGGAGGGGGATGGACGTCCACTGGGGGTGGGACGGCTCCCACGGCAGCGCCTCGCACACCAGGAAGCGGTGGGGACCGACCAGCACCCTGCATCCATTGCATTCATATCAACACGTACATACAACACAATGCGGTGCAAGTACAATAAATCCACGCATATGGATGTACGTGCAGAACAAGCGTTATGTGGTGAAGTTCTCACATGTGGTTGAGGTCGGCAGAGCAGCATGCCCCAGACAGCGACTGCGGCGGGATGGGTGCATAGGTCCTCTTGGCGCTCCACCCCTCCGCCAGCCCCCTCTTCTGCCGCTGCCCATGCCCAATGACGAACGCCTGCGGCGACAGTGACACGAGTGGCGCCCAGTCGGCGCTCCGGAAGATGTCGAACTCATAGAGGACGCCGTCCTCGCCCTGGTAGGCCACCAGGACGGCCATGCCGTGGCTGCCCCAGCACAGTGCGCGCCCCTGGACGCCCCGCGACCAGCTGCTCAGGATGGACTGAGTGGATATGGCCCGGTGGTATGCGCTGCCCCCGTGAGTGGGCGTGGCCGATGCGCTCTGGCTGAGGGGCGGCAGGACGGCCGCGCTGGGGGTGCCCATGGCATGTGCCGGGGGCGGGGAGGGCTGCAGTTCGGGAGTGGCATAGCCATACGGGAACGAGTAGGCGTACGACGTGCGCCGGGTGTATTGGAGGTAGGACGCTGGGGAAGCCCTCTGCGATGAGGGGAAGGGGGCCGAAGGGCCCTTGCCCTCGGGGCGGCGGAACGGGGCCGCCAGGGGCTTGCCTGCACACACACAGACGGACCGAAATAAGCACCCAGGAATCCTGGCTGTAGGCGTCCTTCTCATTGTCTGTCTGTCTGCCTGTCTGTCTGTCTGTCTGTACCAAGGTATGAGAAGATAGCCCATCCCACCCTGCGATAGCCCACCACGAGTGCCCTGCCGTCACTGGACCACTGCATGGTCACCACGCCGCCCATCTCGCTCACTTGCACGTCCAGCCCTATCGCCTCGGCCACATTCAGCTGACGCACCACATACGCCGGCAACGACGTGGGGGGCGGGGTAGTATCACGCCCTGACGTCGCCCGCTCAAGGGTGCACTCCCGCAGTTTGGGAATGTCGATCAATTCCACCACGCCGCTGGCGAGCGCCACGGCCATCATGTTCTGGGCGGCGTTGAACTCGATTTGAGTGGCGCCAGTAGCCCTCACAATGACACCCAGCCCGCCCTTGCCCCCTCTGAGCAGCGCCGCTCGCCAGTCGTCATTGTTTCGCCGCCTGCCTGGGTAGAGGAAGGGCTTCTTCCACGCAAACACCATCGCCGCCCCGCTGTTGAGGACCACCCCCACCAAGTCCAGCCGCGTGTCGACACTGATGTGGTGGATGCCCGTCGGTGGCGACGCGACGGCCTCACCGCCGTAAGACGACCTTCTATGGCCCTTGGGGTGCGATGGCAACCCATTGGTGGGGGGGTGGTCCTGGTCTGCCTGCGGTGGTGCAGTCGAGAAGGGGAGGGGCGAGCCGAAGGGCGGGGGGTACGCCTCGACGTCGCTCTTGAGCATGGGTGTGGTGCGGCTCTGCTGGACGTTCTCCAGGTGCCTCTTGAGACACTCAGCGCCATCCGGATCATACAGCGCCTCGCCGTGCGCCGGTGGGTCAAAGGGCCTGAAGGCCGACCGGGTGGTGCTGGAAGGCGTCACGTTGGCGGCAGGAGTGGGTGTGCCGCCCACAGTGGGGTCATGATGCCCACCGTGGTGTGGGTGTGGGGTTGTGGCGCCCAGGGCGGTGTCGGTGAGGAATGGGGTGAGGTATACGATGTGGCTGAGAGAGCGACAGTCGGAGTAGTCCAGGAGGAAGATGGCTGGCTGCTTGCGGCAAGCGGCGATGAGATAGCGTGGGCTAGCGGCCATCCAGCTGACCAACACGGGCAGATTGAGCACCATGTGCAGCTCGATGCGCGTGCCGCAATGGGTGGGCGGCTGCTGCACCACCATGTACGGCCGCGACTGGAAACGGGGGGTAGTCTCATCCGCCGCATCCAGCAGCCCCTCCGACTCATCCCCCTCTCCCTCATGGCCCCTGCGGGTCGCCAAGATGCGATAGACGCACAAGCTGCGGCCCGGTACCGTCGACACGAACAGGTGAGACGAAGACGGCGACCACACGGCCATGTGATGAGACCCGAAGATGTCGGCTTTTGACGACTGCGTGTCGGCGCTCGTCTGGGTTGTCTCGCGCTTGGTGAAGGACAGCAGCACCCGGTGTTGTTCGTTGCTCCACAGAGCCACCGACGACGGGGAAATGGCGGCGAGGTAGCGGCCGCATGGCGACACACTGAGGCTCTGGATGGGCTCGCGGTGGCCGAAGCAGTACTGCTTGGGAGGACCGAAAGTCGTCAGCATCACACAAATGCGCTTCAGGCTTCAGATCTTCCACACGAAACGAAATTCACTGGAGGTCTGTGCGCTGAGCTTGCAGAACGATCGCTTCCTGCCATCACTTTCTCCCTCCCTTCTGTTGAGCATGTCTAGCGGCAAGCGCGGGGCCGACATTGAGCGAGATCTCAAAGGTGATGACGGGGCGGAGCTGGATTGGCAGTTTGACAGGGACACTGTCGATGAGATAAGATCTCGGAAGAAGCAAAAGGCCGCCGGCGTCGTAACCGACGAGCTGGATACCACCGGCAACCTCGAGGAGGCGGACCCTGATGTGCAAGTCAGTCAGCCAGACGCAGAACAGCCCACACAGAGCACCGCATCATGTGGGTGTGCTCTGTGTGCGTGTTTGCAGGTGAATGAGGAGGGCGTCAAGTTTGAGCCGTTCAACATGCGTCAGGAGATGGAGGAGGGCAACATCGACGAGGAGGGCAACTTCCTCTTCGTCGACCGCAAGAAGCAGGAGGAGGACTTCAAGGACTCGTGGCTCGACTCCGTCGATGGAGGCGCCGCATCGACCACATTCAAGGTAGGCAAACACTATGCACCACACCCGATGGTATGCATTCATTCATCGTACCATTCACTGCTAGAACGACGATGAGCGGCGGGCGGTGATGCAGCGTATGAATCGTGACGCAGAGGTCATCCAGGTGGACGTACCCACATCCCTCGCCGCCCTCATACAGGTGCTGCAACCGGGTGAGACACCCACCGCAGCCCTCAGACGCATCAAGGCCGGCGGGGAGACCACGAAAGGTGGCGGGGGCGGGATTCCAGGGATCGTCAAGGGGCGCAACAAGAAGGGTGGGAGGGGCAGCACGGAGAGGGAGGGCGGCAAGGAGCACCGGATGACCGACGAGGAGGTAGCCACCTTCAACCGCGTGACGGAGCTCTGCGATGGGCTCATGGCCGAAGGAAGCAGTAGGGAGCCACACAGGCAGACAGACAGACAGACAGGCAGAAAAGTGAGGAACGAAGGGACTAAAGTGTGTATGATGGTTGTGTGTGGATCATCAGATGCGTATTTCATGACCCGTGAGGAGATCGAGGAGGCGCTCAAGAAGCACAGCCAGGGACGTGGGCAGAGGAGACCAGCGGCAGGTACATAAAGCCCTTCATGTTCATCATCTATCACACCCACCGCTGCCTGACCCAACCACCATGTCTGGTGCTTTTGTGGTTTGCCTTTGATCTCGTGGTGGTGCTTGTAGGTGGTGGGCCTGTCGGCTCATCTGAGGACCGCGAGCTGCTCTATTGGCAATACAGGTAAAAGGCGCACACTCGGGCAAAGTACCTGCATGACCCCGATTCCATGGTTGCTTTCAATCAAATCAATCAATCATCAGGTGGAAGAAGCCTTCCGCGCCCGGAGCAGCGCAGCCATCCGCGTCATCTGCCACCCCCTCAGTACCGGACAGCGGGCAGCTCTACGGCCCGTTCACATCCGAGAGCATCATGGAGTGGATCAGACAAGTAAACAAGGGACGGGAGAGAGGGGGGAGCCGAACACACACACGCACTCTCATGTCCGCACGTGTGTCTTCCATCCATCCATCCGTCTGTGCAGGGTTTTATATCAGAGGGCAATCCTGTGGAGGTGCGTCAGGTGACGTCGAGCAACGACCCCGTCGACGGCATGTGGCGCGACTGGTCATCGGTGGACTTCTCTGTGGCCTATGCCAGCAGTGCGGAGAAGGGCGTAGGTGGATCGGCGGGTCAGGGCATCGATGACGACGATGAGGCGGAGGAGGCGGCCATGCGTGAGCGAGATGAGGAGCGGGCCGCCTTGCTGGGCATCGCCGCCAAGAAGGACAAGAAGGGCGGTAGAGACGACGACGAGGACGAACTTGAAGAGGACATGGGCACCTGATTCATCCATTCACCTTCACCAACAGACGGACGGACGGGAGACAGCGAACTGATGGATGGCTCACAGCTTCACCCTGGGGGACGGGGAGAGGGAAAGGGCTGGTGTGGGTGATTGATTGATTGTTATGTTGGTACACTGTCTGTCCATGCCTGTCTGTATTTCTTGGTGGCGGTGGTGGCTGCAGGGGCGATGCGAGCACGAGACACTAGTGTGTGAACGTGAGTGGACGCTTGGCAGGTGCCTGCGTCAATGGCACACAGGTGATGCAACTGAGTGTGAGGATGATGAGCAACCCGTAGACGTTATGTCACAATAAAGTCTGGTGTGTGAGTGTCCGCATCCATTCGTACGTGCGTACCTACGTAAAATAAGTAAATGCACACATGGGGAGTAAGTGCACACATGGGTTCCATCCCTCCCTCCTTCCCCCCTGGTCTACACGTGCATGAGTGTACTGAATCAGTGAGCCGTACCTCATGATACCGCCCGACGCACTGCATCCAGACGTACGTAGCACTCACACGACAGCCAGGTTGCGTGCAGCAGTCAGTACATCGATTGGCCCGACCCTATTAGACAAGAGTATTCAACGCGTAGCGCAATCGACCGACCTGCAGCTGCATGTACGCCTGCCTCACTTTCCTCCCTGCCGTCGCGAAAGCAGCCCATCACGCACATGTTATCATCGTCTCGAATTAGGGGGAGGGATACATGTGCGCAGTTCGTGGTGGGTGTTTGTCGTGTGTGGGTGAGAGGAACCATGCACAGCGACACATAGAAAGCCAGGTGGGTGCAGGGCATGCGTGGGCACGCACAGCGATCGACGGGGGGCCCACGCTGCGATCATCATGAAGGTGCTTGCGTTGGTGCGTCTGTACTTTAGGGCTGGGCAAAGTGTAAAACGGGAGTTATTTACACAAGCAGACACCGCGCCCTGTGCGTAGGATAATGCAGACAGTACGGCAAGGGCAACACAGTGGAGAGCTCCCTTGCCGATACCTGCCCGCACACCTACCCATGCAGAAAAACACCGTCCATCCATGCATCCATCCACACCTTTCATAAAGGAGGAGACACCGTCACGCGACCGATCGACCGACCCACCGACCGACAGGGAGACAGACAAAAATACGGATCGACAGTCCTTTCGACAGCCAGCGTACTCAGACACGTACAGTATTCACCCCCCACGCCATCACGACCGACAGATCATCGACCCACCAGGTCCCGACGAAAAACGCCACCCCGAGGCGTACACAGAGCCAGAGTCAGAGTAGACCCATATGCATGCTCGCCGTCTGACTTGTACTACCCACATATGACATCAGTATCCGCCCGTATCGTAGCCGATGGGAAATCCTTGCGGGAAGCGCTTCGTGGGGGGCCCCCTGGGCTGGAACGTACGACCGGCCGTCCCAGTAGCCCTGAATGCCACACACACGGACGTTTGTACATCACACACAAATGTTGTATGATCGTCTCGGATTGATCGATTCGGGCGTACCAGTAGTAACGACGAGGGTTGTAGATCTCCACATTGGCTGAGTGACACACATGCACACGCAGATAGGTGGCCAGTTAGGCGTTCTGGGGTCGTGCTCAAGTGTCTGTCTGTCTGTCTGTCTCTGTGTTGGTCTGTCTGGTTCGTGCCGCGTGGGCCAGGTGGTTGTTTGCTGACCTCCTACGGCGCCGCATCTGTAAGGGTTACACCAGGCGACTGCTCGCCCCTTGCCGCCGAGCTCTGGTGCCCTGCGCGGGGAGAACCCTCTTGGCTGCAGCCGCCGGCGCTCCTCCTGGTTTTCGTAGTCGTGGTAACCCTCATACTCGAGCGTACGCAGCACGTTGCCGTCCTTATCGTACACTATCGCCTCGTCTGATGGGCATCGTTAAGCAACCGTACACCACATGGGATCGTTGCTTGGCTTGACGCATCGCGTCCATGTGACCTGCTCGTGTGTCTCACCCCTCTTGACGACGAGCTTTGGCCCGCCGGATAGATAGACCTCGGTGTGGTTGGCACGCTTGATGACGTAATCCACGTTGAACAAAGCCTGGTCCTCCTCATTGAGCTGACAGATGTTGGATGGATGGATGGATGAGGGCCATACACACACATACGTAGATCACGAACACGTTCAGAGAGTCTGGGAGGTGTGTGTGTAGTAGGTGGTGGTGGGTGAGTCACCTGGAGGGATATTGAGTGTATCTTCTCGAAGGGCTCGAGGTCGAACGCATACATATCGGGAATCGACCACGTGTCGACGTGAGACTGGACGCCTGCGCACATCACACATCCACCAAGCCACCCCACGCCACACACAAATGAGCAAAGAGCCACGGTCCGTTAGGTGAGGGGGTGGATGGGCTGTCACTTACGGACGGGTGCGCCGTCTTTGACGGACATCCCGATGCCCTCCTGGACCGTCTCCTCCTTCATCACTGACACACACGCATACACAAACGCACACAGAGAAACTCCCTCCCTCGATCGTTCTGCGTCCCACTGGCTCACGTTGTACGCCGGCGATGACGAGTGCCAGGACAGCGGCGAGTGTGACGACCCAGAGGCAGACGAGCGCGATGATGGCCACCCGGTAGCTCTTGTTCTTCTGCCGCTCACTGACACACACACAGTGGCAGGCAGGCCATCCAGGGAGAGAAGATGCAGCGAGGCTGACTGAGCCTCCGCATGGTGCATACATACCCGTGGAGCTGCTTGGCGGCCAGCGCGACTTCTTCCAGTGTGAATTTGCCGTCACCCTGACGATCCCACGACTGATGTCGAGACACAGAAGAAAACACCATCCAATGTAGAGCGTCATGCCATCATGTAGCCCTTTTCAGTCTCGTGTTGAGTCGCAGTTTGTCCTGACCTTGAGCACGGCGACGATGCGGTCTGCTTGATGTTCAGGCCCAACAGCGGTCTGAAACGCCTCTGTTCGGGCGCTGGGAACAGGACTCGACGAATGAGCCATCTTCAACAGCAGGCACACAGACGAGTGCTACGGCTAATCCAAGTTGTCGCTCTCGCAGGACTAAGTCTCAAAAACACTCGGCGGATCTCACAGCTGGTTGAGCCGCCGGTGTCTGCTTGAACTGATGTTGAGGGTGTTCTTTTCCTCAGTCCTTCTGGAGAGGAAGCTCGCAGGTTTCACCGTGAAACCGGTCTCTCACCCCCAAGTGTGAAAGTCCTGCGACGTTATACACAGACACGCACGCACACACACTAGCCATGCAGTCTCGACGTGGGACTCGCCGGCACCCCGTGGAGATTCAGATGGTGCGGTTCAGCGCCATGACGCTGCCCGAGTGGGAAATGGATGAAGGTAAATAACACAAACGCACAAACACATGATGTTTCTGGGTCGCTCTGCTCTAGCTTGTCGTATGAATGTATTGCTGTGTCTGTGGATGCACGTGTCCAGTTCTGGTGTTCCACATCCTCAAGTATCTGGCGCGTCAGGACCTGCAGCGGCTGCGGCGGCTGTGCAGGTGCTTCAGGGACGTATGCAACAACCCCGAATTCTGGTCGGCCCTCACAGTGCGAGAGCGGTCCATCGCATCGGCCAGGAGTTTCATCGGCATGCTCGAGCGCACGGCGGGGCTGGCGGAGTCCCTCACCCACCTGGAGCTCAACCGCAACCCCACCGTAGGCCTCGACATGGCGCCCCAGGCCCCCCCTGCCGTGCTTGTCTTCCCCAACCTCCGACGGCTGCACCTCGAGGGCTTCACGACCAATCAGTGCGTCCTCAACCGCATCATCATGGAGCGGCTGCACGCACCCGTGCTGCAGTCGCTGCACTATGTGGGTTTGCTCAGCGACCGGGCACTCAACCGCATCGGCGGGGAGCCCTTGGAAGGCCACGACTGTCTCATGGGCACCCTGGTGTGTCTGTACCTGGAGCCCCTTAGTATAGGCTTCCAGGGACTCCTCAGTGCCGATAGCGTCCGGGCCTTCGAGAGCTCCCTGGTGCTCGCCACCAACATGAGGAGCTTCTCCATCGCTACAGGTGAGACGGGAGGGGGGAGGGACGTGGGCCTGGTAACGCTGGGTTGGTGTGCAGGTAGCGGTGATCGCCGTTTGTATGAGTGGAACCCCACCACGCCATTCGCGTCATGCGAGTCGCTCATAGCTTCGGTCATGCAGTTCACGCAGCTGACGACCTTCAGGTATGGCCAGATGGATGTAAGGCACGGCCATTCAAGCATACGTGTTGCTCGGCAGGTTTGATTACGCCATGGACGTATTTTCGACAGCCATGGTGCAGCGAGTGCCCAGGAAGAGCAATGAGGTGGGCGTCGGTCTGTCTGTCTGTCTGTCTCTCTGCCGGATGATGAACCACAACCAGACGAGTGCTGGATCCCGCCTCTCTGTGTGTGGCGTGTGTTAATGTGCAGTCGATATTGCGGTGTCACGTCAAGACCGCCAACCTTCCGTACTTGACGTGGAGCTATGATGGCATCATCGTAAGCTGACGAAACAGAGACCTGCCATCGACGTGCCGCAAAATGAGTGTACTGCTTTCGCCTGCCTGGTGTCAGGGCTTTTTCCTGACGATAGGTGATCAGTTGGAGGAGTTTACGTTTGAGTACTCGGGGCAGCAGCCCGCCGCATGCAGCCTGCTGCAGAAGGTGCGTCAGCTCGTGTGCATGCACCCCATCTCTCACTCACATGGACTCCCTGTTGACTGTGCTGGCCGCTGTAGGGTTACTTTCTCCCCAGCCACGTGGTCTTCGAGCTCTTCGGCACGCGAACCAGCCTCAAGAAACTCATACTCAAAGGTGGGTTGTGACAGACAGACAGACAGACAGACAGACAAAGAAGACAAGCACATGGAGACCCATGTCGCAGGCACAGTGTTCGCCCCGCTCTCGCTATGTACTTTCAGGGGTCTTCATGGTCGCCACCGACGTCATGTTCATCATCAACTCGTGCACCAGCCTCACACAGGTTGGCTAGCATTGCCAACATCTCCTGCTGCGTATCGTTTGCTCATGGTGTCTATCTGCCATTGTTGTTATTTGCTGCAGCTGGAGATCCCCGATTATTTCGTGGCTCCTGATGAGCTGAACCAGATACGGCAAACGGTGACTTCACACCCATCCCTCACCGCGGAGTCGCTCGTGCTGGCCACCGAGGCACATGTGGGGGGCTGGAACATGTTCAGCTTTTGACATTTTAACCCTGCATGTATTGACTGCACAGTCAGGACAGTGTGTAGCGCTGAGCAGGGGTGCAGTGCTGGGTAGGTCGGTGGGTGGCTGGCCCGTTGGCCGGGGAATGGTCCGGGAGAAGACTCTGGGACGTTGTCGGTGTTGTGTGTATCCTGTTCACGTGTTGTCGAGCTAATTCTTCGCCTATGGTGAGTTCGCTCGGACCGAACAGGGGAGTGAAGTGCCAATTGCACCCTTCACACCACCAAACGGACCCCCTGCATGCCCCATGACACCACTGAAGACACAGGTATGTGAATGCAGCGCCTATTCTGTCTGGCCACTGCTATCTGGCGCCTAGTGAATTCATGCACTCACGTAGCTACACTGATCCAGCATGAAGGACTAACCCACAATTGATATCAGTATTGACATTCCCATTACTCGTATTTGAATTCATTCATATGACTCGACGAGCGTATGGCATTCGTTTTCATATGCCTTGGTCATAAGTGTCTGCACAATGGCTGTAGCCTCAAAGACGCAAGACACACATTGAGCAAACTGATCCCCTCCCAGACTCGGACTTACGTACCACTCAGCGTGCAAAGTCAGTTCAGTGTCAGTCGCTTTCCTCACTGCTCTCATAGGCAAATATGTCGAGCTCAGCTGGGGCCTTCCCCGCCACTGCAGCAGCGGCACCGCCCTCCTCACCTTTCGGCGGCGCAGAAGTAAACAAATTGTCGATGGCTTGATCGATGCGCGTGTCTATTCAAGACAGATAGAGAGACACGTAGCCATAGGGTCCAGTCAAGAGTCTCTTGTTTCTGTGTCCGCTCAGTACCATCCTGCGTCATGATGATGATCTTGGGTGCTCGCGCAGGCGCCTCCGCGTCGGTTGGCTGTGGCTCAGTCAGCGGCATGGCCCTCTTGGCGTGTGGACGGTTCTGCCGTGGGTGTTTGCTGCCGCGGCTGGTGCGGCTGGTCTGGCTCATGGCGTCATCCTGGGGCCACCTGGGGGAAGGCAAAGGACTGTACGGTGACATCTCGGTCATCAAGTCGGGAGGACGGGAGCGCGTATTGGTCACAATGGAGAAGTTGTCTTCGTCCCTGTCCTCGGCGTCTCCCGGATGGACTATCTCTCGTTTCGCCATCCGCTTCACGGAGCCGAATGTGCGATTGACAAGGGGTGTGAGCATGCCAAAGAGGACGATAGAGAGAGTGAGGGCCCAAGCGATGAAGTCGGTGAACTCGTCCTCATTAGTCAGGCCTCGCTGAGACAACCTGTCAGACAGCTTGACGGCACCGAAACGTCTGGAGAAAACAAAGTGGAGAGACACCACGACAGTCATCCTGCGCATCTCTCAACCTGCCTCTCCCTCTCCTCCTACATGAAGGGCGAGAAGGCAATGGCAAATAGAAGCCCAATCGGAAGCCGAAGAATCTCCCTGCAGGTGCAGACCCAGCGACCTTCTAAGTACAGTGAGTGTGCCTGATTCTGTGCGAGTGTCACTGTGTCAGTCAGTCCGACCGCACCTTATGATCAGCCCGATGACGACCTCGATAGATGCGCCGAAGCAGGAGCAGAGTTTGCCGGTGGCGGTAGACCGCAACTCGGCGACTTCCCTCTCCCGCTCGAACCTTTCGGCGAGCTGGAACAACCAGCATCTCGGGCCAATTATCATGTCGAAGAAACTCGTGAAGAGATGCAAGACAGCCCGGTCCAGGTACTTGACGACGAGAATGGTGATCACCGATGTAATGAAGATGTCCTGATCACAACATACGTATGTTTTCATGACGTTTTTCTTTCGCACTCAGGCATTTGACCTTACTGAGACGTCTGTGGCGCGAATGATGGAGTCTGTGGCACCATAGGTGAACAAGAAGATCCAGATCACCTCTACCAAGTTGATGAGAAGGCACACGAAGCCGGTGACCCACTCCCACGCATTTGCAATGTCCAGCTGCCCCAGCTGCTGCTCGGTATATTGGGGATGACAGTCACCGAGAAGCAGATAACTGCAGGGGGCAGACACCAGAGTCGATATACAGAGCAGGATGGCCATCCTTTACTTCTCCCTTACTAGTTGCGTGAGAGCATGGAAACATCGGCAAACCACACGAGTCGCTGCTCCATCACCCACATCTCGATCAGGCGGCACCGGTTGGCCAGAGATGGAAGCGAGAAAGACGTGAAAATACAGACTGCGAGGAAGCGAGCACCGAATAGAGCGGGCGAGTCAGCAAACCCCTCCTTGAGCACAGCGGCCAATTCCTTGGCGTCCCTGCGAGAGAGACACCGGCAAATACGCAGACGCCACCAGGGAGGACACCATCTGTCTACTGTATGTGTCCTTTGTGTGCACCTGGTCTTGACTTTGGTGGAAAAATAGTCACTGTCGTAATGAATGCCAAAGAGGACACCGTAGCCCACAAAGTGAAGCACTAACGCCACTACAGAGAGGATGATGCTGAAGGACTTGCTGATTCGCACTTTGAAGGAGCCGGCCATCCGAATGCCGGGGACAACAGCATACGCTCCGAAGCGTGCCACCCATGCGAGCCCGAAGACGTCTGAAGAAGCAACACACCGTCGTCCCAACACAGGGGGCACTGCCGTCTCTTTATAGGCACACCTTTTTCTAGGGGACACTGCCGGACGACCTTCCTGTATGAAACACCAGACAAGAATGATGCCTCCCCCCTGTGCCTCTTTCGTGACTCTCCCATGCGGTCCCACCCCACACATCCTGTCACCTGTCTTTTATGCGCGTGTCCAGGAACTCTTCCCTTTCAGTCATTCTTGAGGTGACACTCATTAAGTCGGTCGCCGACTTGACATTCGACCTGTCGGAGTGCTGCTGCCGGCCCCCCGGGGCATCTTGGCGCGGTGACATTGTTTGCAGGAATCTACCGAGGTTAGATTGACGAAACGCTCAAAGGGGCGGAAGGTTGTATCTCCGCTTCTGCTTCGGTTCGGTGGGCGAAAATTGCTGTCAGAAGGCCATTTCGTCGGTTCGCTGATGTCGTGGGCCCCTGGGGCCTTAGGTTTAGGGTGAGATGTAACTGGCAAAACCGCCACTGTCCTCGCTAAACCGCCACTGTCCTCGCCCCTACTTATATGACGCAGTGTTTTGGAAGCATACGACTAGACCGATGATTAACTCACTGCTGAGAGGTGCAGCATTGCGATGAGGAAATGTGTTTGCGGCATCAGAGACATCAACATCAGAGACATCAACAATCACAACACACAAATCATCTGAGCAGCTTTTCAAGCATCTTGGTGCTCATCACACTCAGGTCGGCACCAGTAATCAACGAGCACATCCACTCCCACACCATTTGCTCTCATTCGCACGTAGGTCTGCCATCTAACGGTCGGCACGAGCCCACGTCGTCTCTCTCGTCTATCTTCTACAGCACAGCACTGCATCGCTTCCTCAAAACCACCCACAACATCCCCCTCACACGGCCCTCCGTGCACAGATGACATGATTTGCATAATTAAGCTGAACTGGTCGGCACGTGGTCTGCTCATCGCCGAACACTCGCTTGTAAGCGTCCAACGTCTCGCGAAACTCCTGCATCCATCATACATGGGATAGAACTTTGGAAAACTCCCTTCAATATCCGCCGATTGACATGTGCTGCACTCCCATATTTCTTACCCGTTCCACGGTGGGTGAGTAGGCATCGACATGGGTGAAGGAAGGAATCCACGCCCAAATGTTTAGCAGCACTGCACCGCCTGGCTTAAGTAGGCTCTTCATTCCCCGAAGGAAAGACACGGAGCGACACTCCGCGGGAAGACTGATGTTGTTGGCGAAACAATCTGGACCAGCAGGGAATGGAGGAACCGTCAATGAAGGCATTTGTATCTCCCTCTGTCGCCTACCGACACATATAAAGTGGTATGGGCCAACCCCAAGCCCCGTCACAGGGTCAAGGGCACACACATCTTGGTATAGACGCCTTCGCCGCTCCAGCGCCTGAAATGCATCACCTATCTCGACATGCAGCGTGTCACTCCTGCGTGAACACACATAACCAGTGTACAGCGATAGAGAGAGGGACATCTGATTTGCAGATGAAGCTGACCTCTTGAATCCAAAGAAGAGCTCCGCCACGCGGATGACACACGGGTCTGAAATGCAGATGACATGTGGCCATTCATGACAGACGGCTGACCTCTGTGAGCTGTGTTGTGTCATACCGAAGTCTACCCCCTCCACGAGGACAGTCGACGTCCGTGGATTGGTCAGTCTGTCTTGTGCATACAGAAGCATCTGGCCCCCGCCTGCATAGAAACCCAATCGGGTGCAAATCCACTCTTTCTGTTTGAGGATGGATGCTCGCATTAACCCACCTACGCCCAACACCAACACTCTCACTTCCTCATCGTTGGGGAATTCTGTTGATTGAATCATCAGCATCTGGTCAACCATCTCACGGATCACCTGTTCATCAACAGGACACGCAAAACGAAAGAGCCTCGTGCGCCTTCGGTCTCCGGCAGCCTGGGTGATTACCTCACTGGGCATCTGCGTGAGGTCCGGTGTGCATTCACAGGGCACAACCCGGTCAAGTTGCGTGGGAATACGCAGAGAAGTGTTTGGATGGCTCCTCATGAAATCCTCTCCCCCATAGCCCATTTCTCGATGTTCCTCCCTCAAGATCTTGAGCAGTTCTTCCTCCGTCTTCAGATCACCGTATTTCTCCGCCCACTCGAAGCATGACGCGCACACCTCGCCTTTGCACCTGACCCGACTTTGAACGCCGAAGTCATATAGCGAGAAAACTGCACCAGTCATGGAGCGACACGCACACACAGAGCAGGGATGTGCTGGGTGTGGACAAGATCCACTCGCATGACATGCTGGCAGGCGCGTGTCGTGCATGTGTGTGTGTGTGTCGCTCCACTTAAATCTCGCGTGTTGGTGGCCTTGTTGATGGCCACGCCGATAGGGTATCTGCTGTTGTGGGTGCAGAATGCCAGGCGGAATCCCTCGTCTGACCAATCATGACACGCAACGCACGCCATGTGATGTGTGTCTGAGTGATTCATCCAGGCGTTCGTACCATAAAAATCTGAAGGAATGTTGAGCAAGCCAACACCCTGGGGACAACATCATGCAGAAGAGGGAGAAAGACGCAGATCGCGTTGATTCAGCGATACCTGCCTCTCCGTGTTTGCCAGCACCATCGGATTCTGCAAGCAAAACAGTCTGTTTGTCTGTCAGAAATCACCGGTAAGCAGATCAGCGTGCACTCACCTCGACATGTTCCGGGCCTCCATTAGCATGCACATTTGAAAGATGACGCCTCCTGGCAGAGAGATGGCGGCGGAGGAGAGGCGGTCCGAACGCCTCGGAAAGCGTGGTTGTCGCTGCCAGGGCCATGAACAAAGCGAGAAGCACTTGGAGAAGCAGATCTTGTGGACGCATTTCTATGCCAGCATCGGAACGACGCCAACGACTGCTCCGCCTTTCCGCGAATTGGGCTAATGCCCAATTTGCGCCTTTAAGAAACAACACGTTCGGCAGACAAAACGTTCGATCACGATCGTATGGAAGAGAAAAGGAAAAACGGTAGCGGTGATGTGTTGCTTGCAGAACCACAGACACTTTAATATGAGGGAGAAGCTTCGTGTTTTTTCTCACGTTTGGACAAGTAACCGTTAAACTGATGTACCCTAAAGCGACAAGTTAGTGAACAAAGATTGGCCGTCAGGCCGTCTAGGGTGCTCCCTGAAACCGCTGCTGCTTGAAAAAGATCGCGATTGCTTTCCCGGAGAAAATCAACGAACAAGGGTCTCTCTGGCCGCGAACTTCTTAAAAAAGCAAGATCCGTAACGGAAGAAGCATCAACTGACTGAACAAACACACGAACGCGCCAGTTTGTGGTGGATGGGATGTTTCTCTTGTCCGTTCATGCAGCTGGTTGAGCTTGGTCCTTCTTGGGTGCCTTTTCGCAGGTCCCTCAGTGCCGCATCAACTTTGTCGAGCTTCTGGCGCTTAACGAAAGAGATCTCGCCGACTATCGTGCAGTGGACTTGGTAGTGGACATGCTTGCAAGGCTCCTCTCTGCAAATGCGGTTACCATCGACTGTCTGCTGCTTCCCGCTTGC